TCCTACCGTCATTTAGTGACCGGTTGGTTACGATTAAATCTGCTTATTTAGAGCGGAAATTACACTTAACTTTTGTGCAATGCATTATGGAAAGATGTCAAGTATTTCTGCTATTTTGATTTATTTGTTTCAACACACCCCTATCCTGTTACTTATGGTTTCGTTCGACTGAATAATAAAATGCACCTGAAATTTAAATTGAAAAGCAGGATGACAACTCCATATACTATAGTATTCATAGTTTAGCAGGTTATTTCCCTTAGTAGTAAATGCAAGGAGATAGTCAAGAAAACGAAAAATGGCAGAAACAAAGGCTCGGTGCTACATTAATGGTCTGAAGAGTTCTCAACAGTTTGTCCTCTTCTTTTGTTTTTGCTTTCACAGGGACTGCATTCTGAATGATTGATGCCTAGCGCTCAAATAACCATTCACCACTAAGAAGAACCTTTACAGAGCACACTGCAGTACTGCCCTTACCTCTCCCAGCAAAGACTGTGGATCTGGCCCAGGGGATCCACATTGCAAGAGAAGCTATGGGGGACCGGTGGCGACCTTAAACGCACAATCCTATTTGCGACCCAGACGGGACTCAATGTTTAGCATGACTGATGTCGAAATCAGAAGAAGAGGAAGAAGAAGAAGCAGAAGAAGAACAGAGCACACTCCTATCACGGCCTTCGTGAAAGAAACTCGATTACCATACGCCGTCCCAACACGGGACGCAATTTCTCGTTATTTCAAAACCTCACTCCGGCTGAGTGAGTGAGTGGGATTCAACCCCACCAGGACATTCAACAAGCGATAAATACCCGATGACACAAAGTACATCATGCGGATGAGAATCACGCAGAAAGAGGTCTCAGAAACCCCATTCAACCCATAGGTTGAGTTATATTAGGGCCTCCGGTTACTGCCAGGGTGGGGCTTTAAAACAACAACAAAAATAGTCTCCGACACTGGGACGCCGTGTGGTTTCAAGGGTACTTCGGATGTTGTCAGGAACCCATATATAACCTAACGGTTGAACTGGGTTTCTGGGATTTGTACCCGAGTGATCCTCATCCGAGTGGTGCATTTTATGTCACCGGGTGTTGGTCGCTTGTTGTACGCTCCTCGTGGGGTTGAACGACACACAGAACCTAGACTGCAAATGTGTCAACAGGTGACGAAATTCTTTGTCATTTCAAGGCCTTATGCCGCTGTCGTCAATGACGCTGATATAACCAAACGGTGAAGCAAGAGTTCTGGGACATGTCCACGGGGGCACGAGTCTTTTTTGTCAATTGCTCATCATCCTGTCTGTGGGAACCTATCCCTTTTATCTGATACCACGCCCTCTGCTAGTGTACTCTCCATCCACAGTGACGTATGAAATGATTAAAGTATTTCAGTTTCCAAGACTAGATGCTGTTTATTGGCACAAGAAACCAGACCACAGTTATAACCGATACTGCTCGCAGTGGGTTGAACGAGGTAGAGTTTTTGTTTTGTTTTACATAAATGGACAATGGCTCCGCCCCCACGCATTTGTCCTTGGTATTGTAAGAATGTTTCTATACAATTTAAGCTTCAAGCCCTCATTTTCTTCTTAAATGATTGGGAAAGTTCAAGAATCACACCCGTATGTTGCTAAAGGAAAGATGCATCATCATCATCATTATCAGAAACAGGTCTGGGAAAGTACTGGGGAAAATAGACAAGGAAATGCTTTAGCGGAGGCTATGGTGGATGCAGACGTAGTGTGTATAAACGATGGTAGGCCAACTATAATGGCAACGAGACCTGGTGATGCAGACATGGCCATTGATTTGGCGTGTGTTACCCAGTCACCTGCGCTGGACACAAAAATGGAGTGTACTATGCGATCATGGTAGCGACAATATGCTATGATCAGTCTTGTTTTCTTCAGCTAGCGAGGTCAGGGTGGTGAGAACGCGCAAGACTTTTAAGTGAGAGAGGGCCAGTACCCTACTTGGACGCCTTCGACAGAAGGTATGCAGCAGAACTACCACTTTTGCTTTTGTGCAGCCTCGGTGGTGGACACGAGAAGTATAACAAGCATGGAGAGCAAAGCGAGCAGCAGTTGAACAATTACAGAAAGTGCGAGAGGCACCTCACAGGTTTCAAGAGGATGAAGAGAAGCTAGAAAAGGATAGAAAAGAAAAACTAGAAGAGTTCAAGCGTTGTGCAGCAGATTAAAAAAAAGGCTAAATGGGAACATTTTATGAGCGAAATTGGAGGGGATAAATCACTGGGTAAGTTTTGGAAACTGCACTGACAAATGCAAATAAAGGATCGACCTATCACAATAGGGCCTATATGCACTGAAAATGGCATGCCAATGACAACAGGCAAAGAGAAAGAGGAAGTATTTTTGAAAACATTTATAGCCCAAACTAATCCTAATGATAGGGAGCTTAGAAATTTAGTTAGAGAATACTATAATACTATAAATGATTATTTTCAGTCCCTAATTTTCAGAATATCATTAGGGTGGAGGAGATAAAATATGTATTGTGAAAAGCAAAGGACACTGCGCCGGGGCCAAACGTAGTCAGGTGTGCCCACATGAAGAGTATGAGTAATGATGACTTCACTTCAACCAGAGCATCAGAACAGCGCTAGTACCCCAGGATTGGGTATACAGCTACCTGATCCCCCTTCCAAAACCAGACAAAGATCATTCCAGACTCCACGGTTTCAGGATTATCACTCTACAGAATACTTTTGGCAAGGTGCTAGAGAAGATTATTGCTGTTAAACTACAAACGTTTTTGGAAAGGGAAGAGCTGCTGCCAAAAGGTTTGGGTAAGTTACCGGCCATGGAAAGATACATGGTCTAATGCAGCTACTTTTGCTTTTGATCTACGAGGCTAGCACATATACCCAGTACCTTTACTTATTGTTTAATTCTAGCCTTTCAAATGCCAAATTCTTCCCTGTGTAAGAACAATAACTTTCTACTGAAGTTAACAGCCGCTAAACATGAAGAAGAAATGATGTTAATCCATCAAAAGTGACAGTCACCTGGTTCTCATTAAATAATCACATTTCCAAAACACCAATGCTGATGGTAAAACTCTGTGGCGCTGACGTGGGAAAATCTGGTTCCATGAAATACATGGGTATAACATCTGACAGTTGCTTAGCATTTAAAAAACACATAGACCACATTATAACCAAAACCAAGAAAGGTCTCTCCGCAATAAAAGATATGGAAGCTGCAAACTCTGAACAACGGCTACTTGTAATGTTATTCCATGTGTCAGTTTTCTCCACCATTGAATAGGCATTGACAATCATGACATTCAGCACCACACAGTTATTCAAGGATGCACTAGAGACACCTCCTGTAAATCCATGCAATACCTCTTGTAGTTCCCCACAATGAAAAAACAGAATCAAGCTATCCAGGGCCTTTGCTTTTCTCAAAGTGAAGTCAGACCCTCGACACCCACTTCGTAAAGAATTATTCAAGAAAAAAAAAGATCAAGCTTAAACAAGGCAAATTCTGGTGGGTCGGGCTAAGGACGCCATCGAACATGTTTGCCTCCTTACAGACATTAATTCTGGAATTAAATGGATACCTATGCCTCCTGCTTCAAACATTAACATTACAGTCCACACATCACATTTAATGGAAGCTGTAGACCGCAGATTCCTGGCATTGTTGACACTTTAGTCGGAACACTGATTGACAAAAACACAGATGAAGGGGACACTATAGTTTACACAGACAGAAATGTAATTGAGGGCATAGTTTACAGACAGAAATGTAATTCAGGGTAGGCAAAGTGCATGGGCATTCACAGTAAGCTCAAAGGGGAAAACCATTGCTGTTAATACTAGTAGCCTTACAATGGAAACTATGGCTGTAACAAGGGTGGCTTGATGAGTTCACACATTTGAGCATACTTAGTGACTCAATGAATATGCTTTAAAAAAATATAAGCCAGTTTTATCAGGCAAGAATGGATTGCAACACTAAGCACTTCACAAATGGCTGCCCTAACCTTCATCTTTGTGCCAGGTTATGCGGATGTTCAAGGAAACGAGCGTGCAAATTATCTTGCTGACACTGCAGTTGTTATGGCTGGTCCAGTACTGGAATGTTATCAATGCCATGCGCAGCACTTACCGTGACGCTGAGCACACCAAAGCCACGACTATGTATCCCTGTCTAGACTGATGGACATAGGGGGTGCAGCCTAGAGCTGCAAGAAATGAACATTTTACAAAGGGAACAAGACGTTTCATTAACCAACACAAGCGCCATTAGTCATATTTTACACTTATGGGGCTTTGGAGGAGTAGATGGAGCACCTATGGATCTGTCAGGAGTGCTGTGATAATAATCATTACTAATCACTAAGAAGATATATAACTTCCTTGCTATAGAATTTGTCAGGGATTTTTGCTTTCAGTAAAAGAAAAAAAAAGGTTAAAAATTTTTTTTTCTCTCATACACAAAAAGCTCTATTGTAGTTTCCCCCTGTATTTCCTGATAGCAGTTGATGTTCATTGGGTTTTATTTTAAGTACTTTTCGATAAGTACAGATTCTTGAATTTAAATGCCATCTTTGCTTGTTACTCAATGAGGTCCTTATTTTGCTCATACTAGTAAAGAAATATATTTTAAAATTTAATGTTGTTCAGTCTTTGCCTCTAGGCCACAAAATTATGTTTTACCAAATGGACACCAGTTAACAATCAAGCGAAACGCACATGCAAAACTGCTGGCAAACACATTCACATAACATCTGGCAAACATATACGCACAACAACTGTCAAACACATACGCACAACATCTGGCAAACACACATCACTAATTTCAAAATGAGCACTGCCCACTATTTTAAAAACAAAAAAAATCTCTTCACATTTCAAATTTTTTTTTTTTTAATTGTACAATAATCGATGATTAGTTGTGGAAAAAAAAAATAGAACAATGTTCATAAAAGCATTACTAAAAACTTAACAGCATATCAAGCAAGCCTGCTTTAAATCGGTTTGATCTTGAAGTGAAGACCAATAAGTGAAAATACCAGACATTTTAAATCCTGAACAAGGTAGTAGAAAGTCCTCAAGCCATCTGGATCTCTGAAAGTATACAACAAATGAATTAATCATATACGCACCAAAGTAGATCAATGCATACACATATTTTATTAAAATACTGTCTACATATTCAACTTAATATTAACGTATATGCTTTCATTATAATAAAGGCTTCTATTGTAACCTAATATTCACTGTGTGGCTTTTGAAGCTTTACTTTAGGGAACAAAGAACAGACACACGGCCCCTCTAACAAGCTTGTCACAGAAGGCAACTAACTGAGGTGTTTCTTTGACTGTTTAAGTGCATCTGACTTGTAAGAAACCAACAGTCTACATACAAATAAGCCAGATCTGTAAAATGGATGTGCACGCAAAACTATGGAACGAGACCAAAATCCAGGAATGGACAAACATTAATAACTTTCTGCTGTTAGAGTTTACAGCTGGTGAACGCTAAAAAACAAACATGTTCTTTGTTCACTAGCTGTAAGCTCCGCAGAAAGTCCTGGCTGTTCATTCAATTAGATTTTGTGCCAGGTTCTGAGTATTGCAAGTGCAGTACATCTGTTTTACTGGCTTATTTGTCTGTCGGCATGGGGAAAGATGAAGACATCACCTAATATAACAGCCAACTATCAACATTTACAGTATTTGGGCCAGTTCTTTATTTTATTTTTCACAATAGTAAAATAACATAGGGCAGCTTCAATGGTGCAGAGGTTAGACGCTTGCCTGACAACCCAAAGCTTTTAGGTTTAAATATGCACCAAAGAGATTTTTTTTGTTTTTCAAATGTGACCTCTATTACCAGGGTTGACCAAGCCGAAAACAGGTACCAGCTAATATACTAGGAACTAAAGGAGTCCGGCATGATGCTGACTACATCACATATCAAGTGTTGATTAGTCCAAAACTCAAACTATATTTAGACTTGACTAATCCGGATATTCTAGTTGACTGAATCCGGCTTAATCGGATTTTTTCAACAATGATAAAGAAGGAAAACGTCTGGGACTAAGCTGGTCATGTTGACTTGAGCAAAATTTGTCTTATCAGAGTGCGACTTAAGTGGGCTCGACTATACATGTTTGGGAATGCAGTTGCTGTTATAACTCCAGCAATACCTAGATTTCATATAAAAGATATTAAATATACCAATTAAAAGCAATACATGTAAAAAGTAACTGAATGAAACTACTTTCTCAAACTTCACAACATGCCTACATACTTGCTCTGGTTCACATCCAGTAATGAACCGATTTTTGAAGTGGTGAAAGAGATGTGTTCATCACCAATGACAATCTCCAGTTCCTGAAAGGAAAATACATTTTTATTTCAGACAGCATTCCAGAAACAAAGATATTAGACAGTTTTGCATTATGGCATGGACAAACAGCCTTGTAAGAAAGGATAACTAGCACGACAGAGTGAGTGTTAAAATGAAACAGGACTCCTTACAAAAGGCTAGATATCAAAGAAGTTTAAAATGAAAAGCACAAGGGCTAAACAAAACTTCCACTTTAACCTAAATGAGGTCCTAATTCTTGACATCCAAGCAGTATGACAGGAGGAGAAAAGAATAGGTCAAACTAATTAGGGGATTGCCTATAAAGTCGGACTGCGCCTTCCTGAGAGGCGAGAAACCAGCAGTCTGCATTCAAGTAAGCCAGTTTTGCAAAATGGATGTGCATGTAAATTGCAAATTCTGAAATAAGACAAGTTTAGATGTGGATGAACAACAAAAACTGCCCATCGGTAAACACAAAGAAGAAGACATCCCAGTATATTTCTTATGAAGAAATGCAGGCCCTGTGCAGCTGTTCTAGGGATCCAGAGAAGGTCACGATCAGGGATGGCAGTAGCAGCCTCTTCCAGCCTGTCACAAATCCACAGCCTCTAAGGAGAAGGTTGCACAAAATAATGTCTGCACACAGCTGCAGTGGCTACAGGCTTTGATATGCCCAGCTAGAAACTGAAACACCAGACTCAACATGTCTTTCACTGCATGAGATCCCTGTGTGGCTTCCGGGGTCCCATTGTGGGGAAAACAAGAACAGACCCACTGCCACCCCAACAAGCATGTTGTAAGAGTTGACTAACTGGGGGCTTCCTTCAGAGTGCATTTGCCTGAAATGCAAGGAACCAACAGTCTGCATACAAATAGGCAGTCTGTAAAACGGATGTACACACAAAACTTAGGTCCTGTGACAAAGCCAAGGTCCAGAAATGGGCGAACAACCAGATCTTTCAGCCAGGGTTTACAGCCAACTAACGCAAACAACTGCTTGAGAACATGTTCTGACATCTTTATTTTTAAAACCAGTCCTTGCTAGTTGTCTTCTTTTGACACGAATGAAATTATAACTGTACTCTATGAAATCAGCACTATAAATGTCATTCTGACAGACACATATGAGGTTATGCACTGTGCTATTGGGACTCACAAGAAAAGCAAGTAACAGTAAATGTACCATGTGCAGTATAATTGTAAACTAATGATGGCTGCCAAAAGATAGTATACAAAAAAAACACAATGTGGGGAAAGCCACACGTAGTCTGCATCACAGATTTACCTCTATTCACCTAGGAAACATTCAGAATTCAACAATGGGATATTAGAATAAATATTTGGTAAACAGTGTCAATAGCAGGAGCCGAACCTTATTAGACTAACTTTAATTGCTCACAAACCTCCTGGCTCCCACAATTCTGGAAATTTTCTTTGGGATTATCTTAAGTTAACAATGACAATTCCCCAAACTGTCTCTACACCTGAAAGGGCTTCAAGCCACAGAAAATTTCCCAATGACAGCAAGGAACTGGTGTGACTTTGCCGTGCATTTACAATCAAACCTTGCGGGCACCTTCTCATTTGTCTCTATCATGCATATATCCTGATGATACTTAAGAGCTTTGATTATAATAAAATAGTCTGGTAGTCTTAGTTTAAGCTTCATGGCAAACGGGTCACCCCATCTTTGCTCCGCTCCTGTGCCAACGAAAAACACACAGAATGTTTATCACAGTCCCTTGTGGAAAGATTGACAGACTGCTGCCTTAGCATATCTAGCATACACTCGCATTAAAGCATATGGTAGCCATCCGAAGTGCCAACACCAACAGTCCAACATTAGAAATGCAGTTCATCATTGATGATAGCAGAACTTGTCGCCAACAGATCAACAGTTGCCCACGCGATCAATTTTAATCACATATGGGCACCGCCAACATTGCACGACAGGCATCGCGCCATTTTCTGAATCTACAATTCACACCACAACGTTGGTCACGGTCGAAAAAACATTCCAAATGCAATCCGCAGCTCAGTGTCACACCATGCATTCAACTCAGAAGCTGGGCAACAAAACTATATCCAGTTTACAAATGGAGCAAAATGCATCTGCCACCATCCAGCAAAAGCAAAAAATTCATCTCTACTTCAAACAGTGCCACTGCCTAGTGTCCATTTTAACCGGAAGCCTATAACAAAATAGCCACTAGTAGGGTTTACCAAAGGACAGGGACACAACAGTGTGACACAAACTTGCTGCTATGCAGATAACCTGGAGTGATCACTGAGGTGATCAAAGACTAGGGAAAGTATTCAAAAAAAAAAAGGTACCTGTTGAAATCAGATGTACTAAACCTATGCTCATATGATGAAACTCTTCCTGTGTGGGTTCCAGGGCCCCATTTGTGGGGTGTGGGGGCACTGTTCCCTAACAAGCATGTCGTTAAACAGGGTGATTCAATTAAGTTTATACCCAGGAACCAAAATATTGAAAATGGAGATCATCACAGGCGAGTGGAGCGAGCCCCAGCATAGAAATATCATCAATATTATACGACGGACACTGACCCCGAGGGTCACTTGCTAGCGTGCTGCTAGTTGAATAGCCCTGCTGTAAAAGATGACCAATCTAGGGTATGCTGAAGTCGAATGTGTTAAGCCAAGAAGCACAGATACCAAAGCTTAGCTGTAAACCACAAACAACGTGCCAACTAAGAAAGGACCCAAGGTCTACTATGTAATCATGCCAACCAGCACTATACAACTAGTATTAATAAAAACACTGACAGCAATAGTCTGTGACCCTACCTGTCTGCCTACTCTGTCAGGACTTGGCCAGGCACTGTCATCTTCTTGCATGATCTCTGAATCTTCAATTATGCGTTTCAACTCCTCCATTACAGATTTGTGTACAAATGCCTACAAAAAGAAATAACTTTATAATGTCACAAATATAAAAGAAACAGATATAAACACTACAAAACAAACTCCTTCTCCTTTGCGTTCACTGGCTGTAAACTCCTGCAGAAAGGTCTGGTTCTTCATTCACTTATGAACTGTCTTGTTCCGGAACCTGAGTTTTGCATGCACATTCATTTTACAGACCTGGCTTACTTTTACAAAACAAATTATACCCATGAAACTACAAAAATTGGACCCTGGGTGCATACCTAGAAAAAAAAATAGGTGCAGTTTCAGATTTGCCATGGCATTAGGATTTATAGAATGATTTACACAGACAACTTCAGATTCACAAGTTATTTTTGCGTGTTTGTGATAAACGTTAAAAAAAATTGTATGGGGCAATTTCTTTTTTTTTTCAGTAATCGCACAAAACTCTGTGCTAAAAATGTAGTTTCTTCCATTGTGAATAAGTGAAAAATAAAACAAAATTGTTGGTTAAAGCAACAACTCTAGTCACAAGATTATTTTTTAAGATTGAAAATAATACATCAGTAAACCTAAAAATGTTTATCCAAGCCAAATTCAATCTATTTACACAACATGAATAAAAGAAAATTCTAATGTGATGCCAACTGCTAGTCAACATAACAACTTTCAATGAACTTAGAGGGATGCATAAAGTAATAAATTTGCAACTGAAAAGCTGTTCTGAAATTTGTGAACACACTATAACAGGGTTAAAACATGATATTCAATCCAAAATTAATTAATTAAATTTTAAATATAAAAGAATAATACCTCTTTTCTGATCATTGTGTCATTTTTGTAGTTGGAATTATTTGCATATCTGAGTTTTCCTGAAACAAAATAATAAACATATATTACATTACTGACACAAGCAGATGTAACTTTTTGGGCACTATTAAATTACTGACACAAGCAGGAATAACTTTTTGGGCACTATTACATTACTGACACAAGCAGATGTAACTTTCTGGGCACCATTACATTACTGACACAAGCAGCTGTAACTTTCTGGGCACCAAACAACTCACAAAATGTTTCCTGGTCATTTTACAGACAATATAGTTTTCTTATGCGATTCTGTCATTGATAGCTGCCAGAAAAACCCACTGTATCCTAATTTGCTATTTAATGTCTGTTAAAGTGTCTTTATATTTAACCAGTTCAATCGCAATAATTTAATTCTTTAAAGTATAACTCCTTTAGCTAGGAAATGTTGCTGTAGCAAGTAGCTGCGATTGAAATGGTTAAATAACTTCTACAACACAGCATCATTTTCTTCTACACATACTTGTTCACTGAAAGTGTAAATATTCACTAAATTAAATACAAAAATGTCTGATTACTGCTGTAGCACTTCATTTATTCCTCCTTACAGCAGACCAATCCAAACATTGTTACGAAAGCGAGTCAATAAGTCAGTTACAAATGGTTACGGGGTGGCAGGAAAATGTAGTTGGTGGTTTCTAAAAGTGCCATTAGGTGATGGCAACATTGAACTTTGTGTCTCAGGTGGTGCTAGATGTTGCATGCGTATTCGCAACACACACAAAAATGGCGGCTGTACTTACGAAGTGTGCCCTTGAAGAAAATAACGTAATGTTGTGCGTTTTTTTTGTTTGGCAAAAGGGCTGCTTGTAAAGAACATTCATAAGAAAATGCTTCCTGTTTATGCTGAAAAATGTTAAACTGTAAAACGGTGAATAGCTGGGTTTTTTCAAATCTCAAGGGCGCTCTATGAAAGTTAAAGAAGTCCAATCTCGTCGTCCTATTGAGATGGCAACAGTTGCATCCGAGCAGCGGGTGGAGGAGATAATTAGAGATGACAGGTTGAGTAACGACTGACTCTGTAGCAACTACAAAAGGGTGTTCACATGGTTCAATATACAACATAATGCATAATTGATTAAAATTTAATAAAGTGTGCTCAAGTTGGGTGCCAACAAAACTGACAGATGAACACAAAATGAACCTATTAGGCAGCTTCTCTATCAATATGCAGATGAAGGAGAAGACATGCTGAACAGGATTATAATTGAATCAATAATGGGTGCTATCAATACCGGCCAAATCAAAGCGTCCTTTAATGCAATGGAAACATCCTTCTTCATCTTGTATTAAAAAATTCATTGTTATGCCATAAACAGGGAAGGTTATGCTGACAGTGTTCTGGGATTGTCAAGGAGAGCTTTTAACCAATTTAAAAAAAAAAAAGAGGTGACACTATGAATGCTGATTCATATTGTAAAGTTCTAATAATGCCTCATGATGCCATTCGAAGAAAATGTCCAGGCCTGCTGACTAGAGGAGAACTGCTCCTTCATGACAATGCTAGACCACATACAGCCCCGTTAACTCAGGAGACAATTAACTATCTAGGGTGGGAAGGAACATCTGGAACATCCATCTTACAGCCTAGACTTAGTCATTCTCCTCAGACCATAATGATCTATTTGTGCTTTCACACAATTCACTTACTCCTAAACGGCTCCAACTTCTAGCCTGTCACATATCAATTCAAAGAGAAAAAAAACAGTGTGGAAATAAAAGTAATTGGAAATTTACGTGCGAGAGTGAACAGTGTCGACAGAATCATATGGGGGAGGGGGAGATGAGCTAAGGAGAGGGAAAGGGAAAGCCATTCTGTATGAGACATTCTTATGAAGCATGCCAAGCATTGCTAGCATGTCTGTGTGAACCTGGGTAGTCAACATTGTGAGAAAGGTCCTGGCCAAAAATGGCTGGCATGTCGGAAGAATGACAGATGATTGTTCAAGGGAAAGGAAAACTGCAATTGTTAGCAGCTGAGAGCCAGTGTGAATGAATGCAGTCTACTTTTTGCAAGGTATTATGCTCTACGAATCTGATTGACTAGAGGTCTGTTAACTGGAGAATAATTCCCTAGACATTTTAACAACAGAGGGACATGGACGCTTCACTCGATGTTAACAGCAATATACAATGACGTACTGAAAACTGTGTTGCCATTTTGTGTATCGTCTCATTTATCTAACCACCACAATAGTTGATGTCCCACGTCATCACTGCAATGCTCTGATTCAGATAAAAGGAGGAGCACTGCAAAAACTATAATGTTGTTAGTTATTCCTTACATCCTGTATGGTGTGCATACAATTCGTAATACACTATAAAGTAGCAATGCCCGAAGCGTTTCAATCTGGTGTGCCTACCACATAATGAAAAGTGAAATGTAGGATCAGGGAGCATCCAGAAATGAGAATCTATATCAGGGTGTTCAAATATCCTTGTAAACACTCTGTCCTGACTCACATGCCTTGTGTACCCTAAGAGAGCTTACCCACATGTACACACTGCTACAGAATCTATATTTAGATCTGTGTACATGTGGCTATTGAGTCAGTTGTGCCGTCTTCCAAGTCTAACGAGAGTGTCTTGACCATTCCTGTCTAACAAGGTCATCCTTTGGTTAAACATGCTATTTATGACAATACTAACAAGGTCATCCTTTGGTTAAACATGCTATTTATGACAATACTAAATCTACACCTTTAGCTAATTAAACTGTAGCAGATTTATATAAACAACCCACTTTCTACATACCATCTGGTCTGAATTCAAACTCCAAAAACTCATGGCCAAACTTTCCTTTATGCCCCACATAGTAGCGCAGATAGAAATCTGTTGATGTCGCCATCTTTGAACTGTCAGAATCTGTCTGTAATAAAATAAAATACTTACAAATTTATTTTTACCACCCCTCACTTCCCTCCCACAAAATAAAACTGATTTCTGATATAAGAATCAACATAATAACATACCAGGCACACCTACAGATTCACACTTAAAATATATCAAACTTGACAATATATACTCCGACAATCTATGAATCATTACAGAATGTATGCAATTTTTCAATAACCAAAAGTATTTAACAAGCATAAAAACTTAAATGCTTATCATTTTACAGGACATTACAGACATTGTGGGTTTTTAAGGCAAATTTACGTCCAGTAATTTGCCATTGCTTTCTGGACGGTCATTTTCTCGATACCACTGCTGAAACCAACGCAATACCAGCAGCTGGGATAAAACCCGGCACCTCTGCATTACGAAGCGTGTTCGCAACGCCTAAGCCATAGATGCCGACTTAACAAGCATAGATATCCAATACTGATAAAAAGAATACACTGATACAATAAAAAGAATACACACACACACATAACTATACAATAAAATATAGAACAATATCTAAAATTATAACCTTGATGAGCTGGACTCTGCATCATTGTTTACATTACCAATGACTGATTTAAGAATCTACATCACAGAACACCGGGCATACCCACAGATGCTGTCTCCTGCAGAAAATGTCTTAAATTGTAGATGCTAAACGTTACCACAGCACACTGGTTATTCACTCGTTTAAAACCGGAAATAATTAAACATATATTTTTGATGACCTGTTTTCTTTGTAAACTGAATATTGTTTAAAATTTATATTTTACAAAATATTTCTTCTGCTTTTTATCCCCATAAAAGTCCTCAATCAACTCTCCTATTTTCTGAAATTTGCTAAAATCCCCTTTTATCTTTAACCCACAACATTAATTTCTACCTCCAATTACTTCATCCATGATTTTTTTTTTAGGTCTCCGTTTTCTTTTGCTGTTGATTCCAAAGAATGACATTTCTAGTTTTACGTCCTCTATATTATGTGTTCTATCAATGCATTAAACACCTCACTGCTTAATTTACATAATTTGTTTTTTCTCTCTCGTCATCATCAAGTGCCTTGCCTACTGGTGTAGGCATCCATGCATCTCTACAGATCTCGGTCTTTGGTGTTCTGGATCAATTCCAATGATGTTATTCCTCCATGCCACTTTCTTAAGCCATCCACCATCATCTCTCTTGGTTTCCTTCCGCCTCTTCTACCAGTGATCTTTCCAGTCATCACAATATTTTCCAGTGCTACTTTACTCATCACATGACCAAAGAACTTTGTCTCCTTCTAATTGTTGTATACAATGTTCTTTCATTAGCCATTTCCAGGCAATCACTGTTGGTTATTCTGACAGTCCAAGATATTTGCAACATTCTTCTCAAGAACAACATCTCAGTTGCCTCCAAACTCTTCTTAATTTGTTTGCTCATATTCTAAGATCTCTAAGCTCTGCAATAATATTTCTGTTACATAATTTTAGCCCTATTTTAAGCAGGCAGCAGTTATTTTTTTGTAATTTACTAACAACTGTTTAGACATTCTTAACATTTGTGACCCATACAACAGTACTGATTTTTTCTTTAAATGTTAAATTTTCTTTTAGTACCGGATTTAATATCTGCTGTCTTCCACAAATTTTATATTATTTAGAAAGTCCTTTTGCTTTTTTGTTTTTGTATTCTTATTTTAATTTCTGTGCATGCCCTTGGTGCCTGTGACATGAAAGTTATGAACTTCTTAAAGTCCACGGCATGTGGCATTTGTAGTCTTGTATATCCACAACCTTGTCTCATGTACTTTCAATCAACTTTCCTACTGTACTCCAGTTTTCTTCTTCTCATGGCATGACCAAAGAATGTAGATTGTCTCTGATGTGAGCAGTCATTTCTTTTTGTGAGTCACTTTCTTTCAAGACATCTACATTATTCTCTTTTCTGTCCAGAGTATTCTCATCATCCACCTATAAAACCACATCTCCGCAGCTTCCAAATAATTTTTCACTAGTGTACCAGCTGTCCATGATACACTTTCATATATCAGGATAGGATTTATATAGCTTTTAAAAATTCTTTTTCTCATCTTTTTTTAAATAAAGAAAGTTTGCACAGAATATTTTTTTATGTGAGTTACGAAGTTTCATAATTCCAACTTAGTGAGTTCAACTGAGCTATATATATACAAGTAATTTGGCAGCACAGCCCTTTGTGTTGATTTCAACAATGGTACGAGCATCAAAAGTTTATGGCAATGGCAAACTAACAAACACAGAATCTCTTAGTCTATCCGCAGCTATCAAATTACTGTAGTTTGTGACGTCTGGCAAAAGATATGCAATTAACTGTTCACATAATTCAGCTGAGAAATGTGAATCCTTCTCAACATTTTTGGGGGCCCTAAGTCAGTCTTCAAAGGCTCTTTCAGAGGACATTCCATTCTACATGTAGTGATAACACTGTGTATCTATTCCTTCTGCCTTTCTAACCCCCACTGCATCATAGGACCTCAAGCAACTCAGGCCAAGCCTTTCTATCCTTTACTATCGCACAAAGATCTCCCCATGTTTGTAACTTCACTCTCTAGCTCCCTTCTCCATGTGTTTTTCTTTTAGGTCTTCATTTCTTTCTATGCCCCTGTAGTTCTAGTGCAAAGACATTCTAATTATATTGTTCCCAGGTTTTCTCAATGTGTGTCCTATCAACGCCAGTGCCTTTTCTTCACCTCTCAGTCCATTGGAACTTGTTTAGTTCTCTCTCAAAGCTCTACCCTAGTGATTCTATCATACATCCTGCACAGGCACCAGTTAATGAATGTTTGTAGTTTATTAATAACTGCCTTAGTTGTTCTCCATGTTTCTGCTCCATACAACAATACTAATTTGACATTAGAAATATTTTTTAAGTTTAGTATTAGTTAGTATCTATTCTACCCCCCAATGTAATTAATGTGCTTAAAAAAAGGGCTATTAATTACATTCTATTGCTGTCTTCCTTTATCATATTTTGAACCTGATTTACAACTGTTTACATAGCTGGGTTAAGAACCAACCTCACAGCACTCAGGACATCTCCATATACACTCCATTCTCAAACTCATCGGCCAGCAAAAAGTTCCAATGCCGTCAGCATCAGCTTGATTATATGACCATCTTGCCTTTCCTCTGGGTACTGTGTCTGCCAGATTCCCTGGTCACTTTTTTACATATCACTATAACCACCATCATCAAGTGCCCTGCCAACTGGCAAGCTTCAACAGCATGTATCAGTTTATGTGCTAACAACCCTCCCTCAATACCAACTTCTTGTGTTGTCATCCTCTGTCAATTTTCCACATAGTTTTCCTGTGGTCACAGCATATTCTAGTTTTCTTCTTGTAATATGATGAAAAAATGATGACTATCTCTTCTGATGTTATTGTAATAATTTTATCATTAATTTTACCTACCTCTTCCCTGAACAAAAAATATTCAAATTATATATATATATATATATATATATATATATATATATATATATATATATATATATATATATATATATATATATATATATATATATATATATATATATATATATCAGAAGAAGAAAAATTGAACTACTAGTCTCTCTGGAAAACAAAAATGCTTTCTGTGAGTTTCAAATGACAACTATTAAACACTAGAAAATGCAAAAGTTGAAAAACACATATTCATAAAAGCCGATTTAAAAAAAAAAAAAAGCATCGTTAGAAATCATCCAAATTAATCATAAAATGTATCCACAAAAACAAATATATGAAAAAGAGAGCATCCTACTATTTAAAAAAAATATGATGTACTCTTTTATCATGAATAAAGCTAACTGTTTATAACGGAAATCTTTACACAACTCATCATCATCTTAAACCACCTCTGCCATAAGCGCTGTGGGGAGGAATAATTTGTGATCAGGGCCACGCTAGCACAGTCGACAGGAGACTCGCTTTCAAATCCAGCTGCGACGCGCTGCAGCCTACGGCCGGTGTTCGAAACCAGGCGGTTCCTGGAGTTCACCCAGCCTCTAGGTAATGGGTACCAGAGTTAACACTCTGGGGTAAATGGAGAAACGTCGTTGTAGCTATGGAGTTGCATGCAGACGGCGACACAGGCGGTCAGTTTCTTATCAGCTGTCCGTACTGGTCGCAGAGTACTTATGGTTTATAACCGTGTGCAATGACGCTGGCCCACATCTCCTGACTTTACCTTTTACTTTGCGATCCAGTGCACGTTGGCTGCCACTAGCTATTGTCATGCCGTGAAGGCGTAGAGTGTCTTTAATCGATCCATATTTTCCGCGGCCACCTACTTGCTCTTGTAGCTGATCTTCTGAGATGTAGTGCTTGTGATGGTTTTTTATCTTGCGGGAGGGGCTAAACTAGATGGCTAGGACTCACGAGCAAAAACAATGGAGAAAGCTGCAGGAGAAGCGGTAGCTGCTGCTCCTGAGTCCCACTATAGTCGGCGAAAAGTGGTCCGCAACTTACATATAACTGTGGCCCTGCCGTAGGATTGCGCTATCGGGAGTATTCTTGCGTGTCGTTAATTATTTGTTCGTAGTTAATTAATGATTGGCTCTTCTTTCAATACCGGACGCGGGCTGGACGGCTTAGTTCGGTTTAGTGGGAGTTCTCTCCCTTGGCCGCACTGCAAACAGTGAGCGGAAAAGTCCACGAAACAAATGACATACTTAGCTATCATCATATGGTTGCGTGTAGGGTTGCGTAGTCATCAAACGGTTGCGTAGTCATTAAACGGTTGTGTAGTCATCATATGGTTGCGTGAAGGGTTGTGTAGTCATCATAATGTTGCGTGTAGGGTTGCCTATCATCATACGGTTGCGTGTAGGTTTGCGTAGGGTTTGGGTTAGGGGTTACGGTTAGGCGTAGGGTTAGGGGTTAGGGTTAGATGTGAAAATTTTGACGTAGGAGTTCCAAATACTGGCCGACAATCTGATGCT